TTTCCTAACAAATCGCTCACAGTTCGTGCAGTATGAAGGTCATATATTAAACATAGTCCCCGTAACTTCTGGGGTCCCTCAAGGTTCCGTCTTGGGACCATTATTATTTTTAATTTTCATAAATGACCTCACGTCAAACATTAACTGTAATATCAAACTGTTTGCAGATGACTGCATTATTTATAAGGAGGTAACCAGCTACACAGACCACATTATTCTCAATGAATGTCTAACCAAGCTAGCAGATTGGTGCGCTAAGTGGCAAATGTCCATCAATGTGAAAAAATCCGCAGCTATGACGGTAACACGTAAGCAGAATCCATCGCAATTCATCTACACCATTCATGGTTCACCACTGACTAATGTTGTGCAGCATAAGTACTTAGGCATTACATTAACGTCTGACCTGAGATGGGATACACACGTAGCTAACGTCACTGCAGCCGCACTGCGTAAACTTTTCTACCTAAAAAGACGACTTAGAATTGCACCAGCGCCCGCAAAACTCTTGGCTTATACCATGTTCGTAAGACCAGTATTAGAATATGCCAACGTAGTTTGGTTTCCTTATACGCTAAGTGGTATTAGTAAATTAGAGGCAGTACAACGCAAAGCCATACGGTTTGTACACAACAAGTTCAAACGTACAGATTCTCCAACTAACCTTCTGGCTTCTTCTGGCATTGAAAAACTAGCTACTAGGGCAAAAGAGGCACGCCTGAGGTTCATGTACCAGTTGTTACATGGCCACTACAAGGTAGATGTGTCTAAGTACGTCACATTTTCACAGTCACGCCCTACTCGTCATAAGCACAAACACAGTCTGCAAGAATATTCCTCAAACAGTGACGTCTTTGGAACATCGTTTTTCCCACTAACAATACGCGAATGGAATAAACTGAATGCAAATGCTACTAATGCCGACACACTATCCACATTCACCGCAGTGTTAGAAACCATGCGTAATCTACAGTAGTGCTTCAATGCTTCACATACCTTTGCTATTTTCCTCTTTTCTTTTTCTTTTTTGCACGGCGCACTGTAGCAGGCCAGAAGGTACTGGGTGAGGCTTATGCATGTCAGTTGGAATGTTATTGTTTGTTCTTCATGAATGTATACTACCTGCTATGTGCCCTCTGTAATGACTCCAACATTGGAGTCGACAGTATTGCAAATAAATAAATAAATAAATAAATAAATAAATAAATAAATAAATAAATAAATAAATAAATAAATAAATAAATGTAAAATATTGAGGACAGCATAAGAAAAAAATACATGCGGAGGTATTCTCTAACTACACGGGCAGCCTAGGATTGATTTATAAACATCTGAAACTATTGTTCATAGCAAATAGTATGTATGACAAGCAGTCTGAGGCAGCGTATGACGGACATTTTAAGACAGCAGCGAAATACGGAAGAGGCCTGGCAAGGTGGCATGAGTAGAGGCAAACCCAACAAAAAGGTCATTCGCCCGCATATCATAAAGTGATTTAGATGAGACTTTGGAGCGTGCACGTGGTCCTTATCAGGAGACCGCGCTGAGAGGATTCCCCGCTGCATTAGGATTGACGGAATACCAAAGGCGTATCCAAATCAAGCCCTTGCAGAGCTACAGACACATCGAATTCCCAGCGTCAGCAGAGATGTAAGTTGCTCATTCGTAAAATAGGAGTGCAGATAAGGCGGACCTTGGCTGTTCAATCAAGCTAAAGCTTTGGCGATATTGCATACGCGAACCTAGAAAACAGCAAGGAATACACACATACAGGAACCAATTATGCAGTCTATATTTGCGGTGGGTCGTCTCTGACGTTTCAAACCGAAGTGTAAGTAGTATGTGTAGCTGAATTCAGCACGGCTGCGTTGTTTTCCACATAAGAATAGGACGAATTAGTACAGTGAGAATTAAGGTTACAATCATAAATACATCGCAATAAAATCAACTCTCCGGCCAGTTTTTCTCGAACGCTGCTCATGTTAAAATCAAAAAACTGAAAACTGACCCCACGTTTCGGGTCAGACAGATCTCGGTCGAATATATTCACGTCCATATATGCTAAACATTTGTCATCTTTTGAGTTCACACCTACCACAGTTGTATCGCAGCAATGTTTTGCAGCAGAATGACGGAGCCGCTAACAAAAAGAAGCCTAGGTAGGCGTCGAGACTATTGAGTTTACCTGTTCGTTCTGAATATTTAAATTAATTTGGATCATTAAACAAGAAAAAAGAATCAAATGTAAAGAAAAAATTACCAGAACAGCGCTCCGTAAACAGATCAATAACTAGCAAAGCTGAAACGTGTTGTCTCAAGGCTTATCAGCGGGTTATTGCCAAGCGTAGAAAGATTGATTATGTGTGTGGAGAAATCTGTTGGTGTTTGGAATCCATGTTACTCCCTCATTATTTAGTAAACAATTTTTAAGCAGAGCGGCTTATTCAATTCATGTTGGACATACATGGGAGTATTTGCGTTCGTAGGAAAGACAAACTTTGGTTTTGCCTAGGCAAATACAACTTCTATGTCAAAATTGAAAATAAGGCAATAAATAGTTTTATGATGGGATGTGCCATCACTGGTTCAAGCCTTGGTTCTATATATTTATCCTTGGTAAAATACCTGTCCGGCACATATTCCTAATGTTGAAGAAGCCTAAACTACACAGTTAGTTGTAGAGGATCGTCCTATGCACGGAGCCTAAGAAACTTTGCTCACAAAAGCCCACTGCACGCTAGCCGCATTTCTCAGGGCCATAAATAAAGTTCCTCCATCTATTCGTTCAGTTATTTAGCGGGTTACCATCACGTCAACTTTTTTTTATTTTGTTTCCTCTCTGAAGGCGCCTCTCAAGCAGGGCAGCGCTGTCATGTAGTGATCTTTTTGCATGACGAGTGGGTCATTTAATGTGTGATTATTATGCTTATGATTCGGAAGGGTGGCTTCGACCTAAGCAATGAAGAGGTTGAAGCCATGGGTAATTAAACGCAGGTGCGCCAGCCTACAAACTTCGGCCGCTGGTTCTGTTGGAAAGAGAGGCTTTACGGCTCTGCTTAGGACTTCCAAAGTATACTGCAAATGCAGTGTTATACCTTGAAGCACGAATACCAACCTTATTATGTCGCTTTAACATTCTTACTGTGCAGACCTTTTTACGACTATATGAAGCACCGTTTAACCCTGAACAAATTATTTTTATTTCCAATCCTGACCTATTCTTCTCCGTGCATTGGCCCAGATTTACCAAACCACAAATAGTATTTGTTCAATCGTTACTTGAGCCCCTAAATGTACACGTTCGTGATCTGATTCCTTTAACTGAGCAACAAAATTCTCCAGAAATTGTTTACCATGATATCTTCCCAACTCACGCAAAGCTATTACCTACAGGCATTTTAAATGGTTTATTGCAGGACCATTTAAGTACTCTGCCAACAAATGTCATTATAGCAACGGACGCATCTCAATCACATGAAAAATCAGGCGTTGGAATATATTGCCCCGTACTTGATTGGTCATTTTCACTTCGCTTACCAGACTTTCTTCCTGTCTTTCTGGCTGAATTCATGGCAATAATGTTAGCTTTGCGAAAGGTAAATATTTCCATTCCAGTTGTAGCAGTCATAACTGATTCATTATCAGTGTGCTCTTCTCTGTCCGCATCTGGTCACTCACCTATAGTGAAACTTTTTAAATCGTTGATCCCCTGTCATCTCCGAAGTATTCATTTAATCTGGACACCAGGGCACAAAGGTTTGTTGTTAAACGAAATAGCTGATTCTCTTGCGAAGGCATCCCTTTCGACACCAATTATTCCTATTTTCCCCCATACAGTATACATTACGGTGGCGCGATTTCGCACACTTAAAATCAGGCAAAATTTATCTGACCCTGCACTGACGGCTTCTCCAGAGTACAAACACTTGTTATTTCCCTGGCGCAGTGAACTGACTAAATCAAGGATGATTGAAGTTGTCATCACGAAATTTCGTTGCCGCGTTACCTCCCTCAATTATTACTTGCATAGATCAGGCATATTGAATTCCCCTATGTGCATTTACTGTAATCAAGAGGAAACGATCAGTCATTTTTTATTACATTGTCGCCGTTTCGATTTATTCAGGCAAAGCATACTAGCACCACCTCTTCAAAGACTGGGCTTGCAACTATCACAGCCTGATCTTCTTTCATTTGGAGCCTCTACACTGGGTTTCAGCCACAGGGATGTTTTATTCGCCGTTCAAGAATACATCACTGCGACTAAACGATTTTCTTGCTAAATTGCTGTCTCAAAATTTTTCTTATTCTTTTTTTCAAACTTGATATCGGTATTTCAAATCAAAATTAAGTTACAAAAAAAAATTGTAGGAATGACACAATGCTGAAAGTTTAGGGCAAATTCACCTTAAAATCGGCCAATCCCCTTTTTTGGGTACGAGCCATTTCTACAGGGAAACAACAACAACAACAACGCAGGTATTCAAATGATCCCTAATGAAATATTCCGTACGTCATTCCTGTGTGTGCGCAGGTTTCAATACACATAGCATAAAAAAGTCTACATTTTCCCATATTTACCGTATACTTCCTCAAGAATTTTACGAAAACACATGTAATCATCGGAAGCGCATAAAGAAAGCTTCAGTACTGGCCTTACTTGCTGCTGAGCCATTTCTATGCACCGCGTACCACCACACCATCTCACTCTAGAGACGTAGAGAACATTGCGAGTTTAACAAAAAAGACACGTGGTGGCACCTGTCCGCGATTTTTCCTTGCCCGGTGGGCTAAAATGATATTGCAAGTACAGTACCTTATGTGAATTACGCTGAACACAACCAGGTGGCCACATTGCGCTGCTCACGATGCTAATTAGCGTGTTTCTCTGGATAAAATTATGTGTATTTCGAGAGAATTGTTGTAATAAAGGCTTGAATACCTGTCGTATTCAGTTGTAAGGTAAAGGTGAGCTTTTTCTCTTTTTTTGACAGGTGATTGCATTCGAGGAGTAATGCAGGGCTGCCCTCGCTCAATTTTCTGAGCACCGACGCTGATATAGATTCCAGGAACAAGTCACTATGGACGTCACGAATGTAATTGGAGATTACGGCAAGTTTCAGAGGAACGTCTATCTTTTCACGCTGCTTCGAGAAGCGCCGAGTGCCATTCACCTTGTCATATACAGCTTCTTCTTCCCGACGGTGGAGTACTGGTGCGCCATGCCAGAAACACTTGTAGGAAACATAACATCGGGGCAACGGGAACTACTTGCGTTGCCCAATTCATCCTCTGATACCCGTCACCACTGCGAATTCATTCAGTTTGATGTTACGGTAGAAGAAGTTGTGCTACTGAGAAACACGTCACTGCCTTGTAAAACGTGGGAGTATGGACGAAGCTACTACAAGGGATCCATGGTACAAGAAGTGAGTTGGCCACATGTGTTTTCTTTTAGGTGTTGAGGTGGGGTAGGGTGGAGATGCTGTAATCGCATGTTAAAGCTTTAGTATGCAGATTTGTTACCAGCATGAAAGCGCTCGAAAAGTGATGGTGGTGATTTACTCTTCCCTATATAGAATATAAGAAAGCTCAAAGTCAGTGGCCATTCAGCCTTAAGTGCGCGATAATTGTTACATGCAGTTACTTGAGAGACAGCACCAGCTTACGCGAACTAACCATCGCACTCAGTACGAAATCTAGCCGTGACCAGCTGCAGCTATCAATCTCACTATTATGCACAAAATATGGTATATTAGCACAAAGTCACACAATTTTACACGTAGTTAACCCATGAAACCTTGCAAGAAACAATGGGCCAAAACGCGCCGACCAAATATGCGCTGTCATTTTAGTACGTGCCCTTGTGGCCAGCGTAAATATTTTTGAAAGGTTAGAAGTATCCCTTTAGAACCTTTGCAATATTTGCCTTGTATTTGAAAAGCACCTTGATTTCATTGCGTACAACCAGGAAGCTGACGAAGCCGCCAACGGCCAACAACCCTTGGCTGAAACATAGACGAGGCCTAAGCCCACGATACCAATTTGCAGAGCTCTTGATAACGTTCATTGAAGCCATCTGAACATTTGAAAGTATCCGCATTTTGAAGCAGGGTCCTTTCGTGGCTTCTTATTTATTGAATTCCACACGCCGCAACAATTAAAAAAAAAAACATGGTTGCGTCTGATTCTGCGTTTCATATCAATTGTGATTTCTGGTCGGCGCTTTGTGTTGAAACTCGTCTTTACTCACAATAGACCAAACAAATTCTATAACTTCGATGAAATTTTGCGCATTTTCTGTTTTAGGATGGCTATATAATTTCATCACGGCCACATCAACTCTGCGTGTAGCTTTATGGCCTCGCGTTATTGAACACTGTTATTAAGTGACTGCTACTAAAATGTCCGGAGCATAACCCAAGGGTAAGAATTTGTTCGGGAAGGGGTTAAAAAGCACCCATTGCATACCTTTGAATTTAGACGCAGAGACGTCCGTGAGGTGCAAGGGTACTCATATTACACAGAACGCATTGTACTGAATGAAGGAAGTATTTCTATGCTCAACACAGTGGGACCTCGTTTGCGACCGAGCTTGGATGCGAAGTCTCGCGCAGACTGCCACGATGGTCGGAATGCTCGTGGGCACACTGGTGTCCTCACTCGGAGACAAGTATGTGAAGTCGTGCGTTTTTAAAGTGTCCGTTAAGCGACAAATAGAGACGATAAAAATGAAGCTGAGTGTCCCCGCTACTAAAATGCACTTTTTCAGTCGTGTCAACATTCGCAACGTAAACGTTAGGCCAGTCGTGTTAACATGTTTTGGAGTTGGTGACAGGGCACTACACCTTGGAGGCATATATGATGGAGAATTTAAGACATTTAGGCTGCAGTTCACTTATTTTCATTTATTGTTGCTTAGTGAATACATCATGTAACAACCACGATTATGGTGTTCATAACGTACGTAAACACAGTGAGCTATTTCGCATAGAATTGATGGAGCTTACGCTTTCTCATTATGTGAAAACAGCCCGTAGCGCTTACACAAGGTACACGAAAGTTTTATTGCTCCAGTCCATCTATAAGCCTATTCAGCGTTCCTGATTAAGAACATAGTGTATAATTCTCTAAAAACCATGTAGACCCTATATATGACGCACAAATGTTATATGACTTCATTTTATAGCCTAGTCGCCTATCTCTGCTTTGCTGTAATTTTTTGCCCTACTTCGGTTTCAGTGCCTACATTGATCTATCAAGTTTCAAGGCAACATTATACACGTAGCTCGACTAATGACAACTCGCGTTTAAGTCATCACTTTTTTTTGTAGTGCTGCTTTAACAACTCACATGTACAGCCATTCTGCCGAAGGTACCCTAATAAATTAATTAGATGATATTTTATGATCAAGAGTCAATTCGCATCAGTATTCTCTGTTAAGTGTAGCGAGTTGAACAGGTTTGTAAAGGTGCATAGCATCGAGTTGGGAATATGCACAAGCACATCTCATTTTTTGTATCTATGTCTTATGCCTTATTCATTCAAAGTATGCGTATACTTTTATCAGATTATCGATTTTCTTTCGAACTTGTCAGGATAGGCCGGAGACCCATCGTAACAGCCGGATACGTCATCTGCTTGTTCGGAAGCGTTTGTGTCGCAGTGTCTCCGTCATTTTCCATCCTTGTGGCATCAAGAGCGCTGCTCGGCTCTGGCTTAGGAATGGGGCGGTCCTCATCTTTCTGTTTGCGTAAGGTTGCCCCTTTCATTCCTCTATGTGTATATAATCTTGCTGTTTGCCGAACACGCATATAGTAATGCACACGGGATGTGGACGTGACTTGTCACAAGTGCTACCGTATGATAGAGGAATTAATAAAGAAAATTGAGGAGCGAGCAAGCTTTGACAGTCCTCTTCAAAAGACGACTGAGCTTATCTGTATATCGGCTTGCCTACAAATGGTTGGCTGCATAAATTTTCGGGCTTACGTTGATTGTGTTTCTGAGAATTTCTGGCAATGCATGTTAAGGAGTTAGTAATCAGGAGATTGAAAAGGGTGAAGTGATGCAAAGTAGTGTCATCATTTTGCGATTGATTGATATGTGGGGTTTAACGTCCCTAAACCACCATATGATTATGAGAGACGCCGTAGTGGAGGGCTCCGGAAATTTCGACCACCTGGGGTTCTTTAACGTGCACCGAAACCTGAGCACACGGGCCTACAACATTTCCGCCTCCATCGGAAATCCAGCCGCCGCAGCCGGAATTCAATCCCGCGAGCGGGGGTTAGCAGCCGAGTACTTTAGCCAATAGACCACCACGGTGGGGCCATCATTGTGCGAGACCTTAGATGGGTTTTACTTGACATCAGTTAAGTAAAACTCATATAAGGTCCAGTTAAGTTTCTTTTCCAGTTATATATGATGCATATATAAACCAGTTAGGTTTATTTTCAGCTGCCCTTGCTCTGAAAAAAAAAAAAACATGCCACAAATTCACTGTATAGCTCAAGTGTTTACAAAGGATTTCCTAGTGTCCATAGGAAACAAAGCACACACTGGCTAAATGTGTTATTGTACGAAGCGAGTGGTTTCTATTAGAAAAATTCCGCCTTGTACCATTGCCTGAGGCCTTTCTAGCGCTGATTCTCTCAAAGTTGACACGCCAGTCAGTAAGGGGCAGGCGAAGGCCTTCTGATGAATTTGGCTATCTAAAACAGGGTTGCCAAGTGCTACATTAAAGTTTAGGCTGGTAGTTGTTGTCAGTGTGCCAGGCGTAAATAACTTATTGAAAAAGCGCACCTAAACATCTACTGCGTGCCTCCAAATTTGTGGACGAGAACGACCAAACCCACCGTTGCTGCTTACCAGCTAAGTTTTATGCTCTGTCCAGCTTCTGAAAGTTGTTTCGGTGCAAACAGACGGCAGCCGCATTTTGATGGTCTCGAAATACGAAACGGGCAGCGTAATAGTTTTATCGCACCTTATAGAACTTCAGCAGCAGAAAAATTATGGACAGGGGGTCCCTATGGTTTGTGTCAATGTTATCTTGGGCTTGGTATGTAAAACTAAAGGTTTTTTGTGGTACATGGTTAAGGTCAGGCTCAAAAGTTCTCCTTGGCCTACTTGATGTGTGCTGTTTCTGCGACCGCTAGGTCTGAAGGACCTTTGAATTTCTGAGGAATTATTGAGTGTAATCTGGTGAACTGCAGAGTATATATCAGCCCGCTTTCAAATAGCGTGGTAATATAAACCTAAAGTTACCTGCAAATGCAGCAGGTATATTCAGCTTTATATTCTGTGTGATGGTATCTCAACTTTTCACGCTGGTCGAAATTGTCCTACGCCACGTGGTTGCAGTTATGGAGGTGATCGGCCTAAAGAAGAGGACCGCCGCCGCTCTGGCGCTCGGCGTTGGCTTCTCCCTTGGCATCATCATGCTTCCTGGCTTGGCGTGGTTCATGCAAGACTGGAGGATGCTGCAATGGGCTATCACCACTCCTTTTCTGGCCTTCATCATTTGGTCTTGGTGAGAAGCAAAAACGAGTGTCTGTTTTATTTCACAAGGTGAATTATCACCATAGTAATTAGCCTTTGGAAAATATCTTCGCGCAAAATGTCCGGATGACTCATGTGTCTGTTGGAGTCAGTGAGACCTAGTCAAAATTATTTGAAGTTATGATGACGCTTCATTGTGATATAGAAAATTCTTGGTGTTCAGCATAGCGCGAGAACTTGTGAGGTATGTATGACTTCAATTTGGTGCCCGGCAATCTTCAGCTGCAGAAGAGTTGGTCTATGGGCCAATTGACATTACAATGTTGTAGAAAGCAGAGCAAAATGTGCAAACAGGGAAAAGGCTACAAGCACACAGGACCAAACGTTAGTGCTGTGGACGTGTGATATTTGCTTTGTGCCCAGTTTTCTGGGCTCATTAAGGCAAGGATTCTTGAATTACAGTCTCGGGGTACTGTGTCAAACTATCACGCGGCAAGAAAAAAATATCTCTTTCCTTCGTAACTTACGTGGTTACCTTATCGAAATTGTTTCAAAATGTTAAACCAGCTTTATTAATTTATCACAACTTTGAAAAATTGATGACGCTGTAGTGAATTGTACAGGGCGAAATTGGTACGGCGAGCAAAATTTACTGATCTGACAACCAAAAAATATCGATATAGCTCATTCACAGCCCTTTTTAAAAAGCTTTCGTAAGCAATCACAATATTTAACAGAAGACGCATATTATCAGAGGTTTAGAAGCACCCAACCCAACAATTGCAACGATTGATGTTGGCCCTGTTTTTTTTTTTTTCAGGCACATCCTATTGTATGCCCACGAGCTTCCCGTAGTTTCGCGGAACCTAATTCTCCCACGTCCTAGGCTCCACTTACTTCGCCTTCGTTAGTGTACGAAGAAAAATGTACATTGGCCTCATTCATTAGAAGGCCGCGGAAGCTTCACATTTTTGCTTTCCAGTAATCGACTTCGGCCCGTTATTAACAGGCCTTTCCCGTAATAACAAAGATCTTGAGGTACTTCAAAGGCGTTCAACTTTCTGGCGCCATGGCTGCGTTTTGTCAACATTTTCTTGAAGATCGCTTTGATACAGCTTTACTGGCATTGTAGTGCGTGGTAATACTTTCAAACAGGGAACTTGACGGAACACATCTTCCTGGTAATACCGTTTTCTCAGAAAGCGTGGCTGTAATTGTTGTAATTATTATTGTAGTTAACTGTGTACAACTCTGAAGTATAGTGATTATGGTGCTCAGCCGCTTACACGAAGGTCGTGGGTTCGATCCAAGGCCTGGCGGTAGCATTTCGACATACGTGAAACGATATATTCCCCTGTAATGTGTAATGGTAATGGACGCTAAAGAACGGTAGGTGACCTTGGTTTCTGGAGCTCTCCACTACGGTGTACTTCATAACGATATCTTGGGTTGTCGTTACCGCTGTTTACTGCTTTCCTCTCTGTCGGCAGGTTCCTTCCAGAGTCCCCGCGCTGGCTTATAGCGAAAGGCAAGATGTCCGCAGCTCGTAAAGTAATCCTCAAAGCATGCACAGATAACAGACTGCACGTCGACGACATTGACATTGTTTTGGTGCAGTTGAGAAAGAAAATTTTGCAGGTAAGTGCACCTTACCTTGCGAAATCCTCGTTGCTGCCACAGCGCATGCGTTATTGTTCACCGGCCGTGCTCTCTGTGGCACACATTGAATTGTTCTTGCGTGGGCTTGTCTATGATTCCATTGATTGATATGTGGGGTTTCACGTCCCAAAACCACTATATGATTATGAGAGACGCCGTAGTGGAGGGCTCCGGAAATTTAGACCACCTGGGGTTCTTTAACGTGCACCCAAATCTGAGCACACGGGCCTACAACATTTCCGCCTCCATCGGAAATGCAGCCGCCGCAGCCGGGATTCGAACCCGCGCCCTGCGGGTCAGCAGCCGAGTACCTTAGCCACTAGACCACCGCGGCGGGGCTTGTCTATGATTCCAGTCGCTATGTTTTCCCCTTTCACGTGTGCAAGATTTATTAGGCGACATTGCCATACGACCACCAATATTTACTGGATACAGGAGCCCTGATGACTTCGAAGATTACATACATCAATTCATACCCAATAAGTCTTTCAGTGGGTATTAAAACTACAAAAACTAAGCATTATGCCTTGCTTGCGGGTTTGCACCAAATTAATGGAACAGGTTAGTCTGTCCAACCAAAACAATGACGTCAACAAGTTACTGGTGCTACGGCAATTACTGATACGTTCAGCCAGTTACATATATTGAGTTTAATTCTGGCAGAGTATTTTCTACTCAAAAGCGGTATTTTGTAGAGTGGTTATAACTGTCAAAATGAAAAAGTTGTAGGGAACATTTCAAGAAACGCATTTGATAGAGTGAATGTGAATAGGCATTTTCAACGCTGTCATACTCGCCGGTTTATATACATACTCTGTGCAAGCGTATGCCCATGAATTTGAGCTCCAACACGTTTGGGAAATACTGAAGCTATGGGATTGAAAGAGCCCCGTTCTGGATGCACAATCCAAATTTTTAAGAGTTAAAATATCTTGCATGCCAATTGCCGTGTACAAACATACAGTTAACCCAACTAGAACGAGCGCACTGAAATTGCACAAGAAAAATAGTCTTGCCAATTATCCTAATACACCGCATTATTTCCTTAGCCCGCAAAATTTCTTTCGCTCTGATCTGCCCTTTTTGCTAGCCTGCTTTATGATTTCTTGGGATGCATAGTTGAGTAGCGCACTAATTGATAAATTACAAAAAGGGAACATCCACTCTCGACGCAACGATGAATGTGTTCCATCTCGCCAGCCATTCACTCCTACAATTTTCAGATCTGCGCTCAACAAAAGTGACGCCTTAATTTTTTAGGACATCAAAATCTTTCGTTTACGCTATAGGTGGAATTTTAGACGTCGGGCTGAATAGGACCTATGTTTTCTGTGCTTGTGCTTCACACTCTAGATGCTGGGATGAAAGTGATCAGCTGTTGACTTACATTGTGCGAAAATAACAGACGTATCGTTAGGGTGCATTCTATCTCGCACACAATCGCTGAGGCATGCAGGTCGACACTCAGGATACATTACGTAAAAGCAGTATATCACAGTCTCTCTATGTGTATTGATAGAAAGCAGAGCACAAAGTGCTTATTTAAAAAGGTGGCGTATGCTTTCCAGTTCATTATTGATATTTGTGTTATGTTGTGTTGTCCGAATATGACTAGGAAGAAGAATCCGCAAAGAAAAAACCCAGCTTCGTCGACCTTGTAAGAAGCCGGAGAATGCTCATTTACACCATCGTACTGGTTTACGCATCGTAAGTATTGCCAATGTGGAATATAGACCACTAAGAGGACGAATACCTATCAGGCTCTTATATAGCCAACATGTAGACATCAAACAAAAACACCACCACCAGCACTCTGATCACCACCCTGGATAGTGCACAGAGAGCTATGGATATATACACATAGGCCACGATAGTGTTAGCGTCGCGTAGAAACGGTAAGAAGGGGGCGGGCTTCTTCCTTGCAAGCAACAACAATACAAAAAGAACCGCCTTATTATAGGAAACCAGCGGCTTCTATTGGCCGCATCACTGGTGCCTTCGTTGCGCTATAACTGCCATCATTGCCGCTGCCATATCTGGCAATCTTTCTTATCACGTCTTTCTTTGCCTCTTTGAGGGGCGAAGCTCCGTAAAGCGGCACCTGTTCATCCCTCGTCGTAGTACGTAACATGTCTTACGCTTCGACTTGCAAGGTGGTGCCAGCGGGAGATTTCTCCTGTGAGTTGTTGAACAATAAAAAATTCGCAACGGGCGCGTTAACTAAAAGAGAATTATCCTGTCTCTCATTCCCCATTAGCAGCCATTGGCATGTATATTGAACACTATTTGACAAGAAAGGGTTGCTACGTTATACTCGCTGGGCGTAGCCTCCTTGGTTTTAGAAATGTTTAGATAGTGTTGGACCGCAGTGCCATGAATACAGTGAACTAGTATATACCATGAAATCAAGGTGGTTAAAGGGGGGGGGGGAGTAGACACGAAGCGCAAGCCGTAAGAAAGCGTGCGTGTGCCACCTCTCGTTTAGTCCTTGGAATGTGCGCTGGATGGCGGTGCTTCTATATGGAATATATGATGAAAAGATGCGAGATGGTGGTACTTGCAGTGTTGACTAGATGGACGAGCGGACACACAGACAGATGCATGAACGGACGCGTGGATGGCTGCACGGACGGATGGACGCATGGATGGACGCAGGGGCGGATGCATGGACGAACGCAAGGACGGAAGCACGGATGGACGTCAGGACGCACGGACAGATGCACGCATGGACGGGCGGATGGACGCATGCACGGGCGGATGGACACATGGACGGTCACACAGACGGACGCATGGACGGACTGATGCAAGAACGAATGGATGGACGGATGCTTCACCCCACTCTCCACCATTCACCCCATGGATATGCTGCCATTTTTTAGGGGCGAAGCTCCTTAGGGCGTGGGCTGTGCGTCCCCTGTAGCCTGTATGTAGCCACCTCTAGTTTAGTTCTTGCAGTGTTCACTAGATGGCGGTACCGTCCCCTGCATTCACTTCGTGGAGCAGTTAAACAAAGAACAGATAGGCGTGTATGCGGTTACAGAAACACACCTTAGAGACTTGGAAGAGCCACCACATATTAAAGATTATGTTTGGGAAGGGTGTAACAGGACCATATCGGAAAGGAAAGGTGGGGGTGTAGGAATGCTAATTCACCGCGGAGCCAAATGGGTTAGAGTGAAACAGACGTGTTCAGAGCACCTCTGGGTTCTGGGCACAGTAGGTGGAAAGGAAACGTGGCTAGGGATAGCCTACTTGTGGACGGGGAATAACTGCAGAGAAAAGAATCAGGAGATAGTGGATTGCATGAGTGCGGATATTAAGGAATTTGGTAATGGGGCCGAAATCATCCTTCTAGGGGACATGAATGCCCACATACATGACCTTGACGGTTATTCAGACACCAATGGGAAGTTATTACTAGATCTTTGCGAGCAACATAGTCTGGAGATAGTTAACACGGGGCCTAAATGTGACGGCCAGATCACATGGGAAGTCGGAAACAAGCAATCAAGTATTGATTATTGTCTCATGACTGAAGGAATTTACCACAAACTGACAGAAATGAGGATAGACGAGGAAGGCATTAACAGCTTGGGTAGTGATCATAAACGAATAACATTACAAATGGGATACGAAACTGAAAATATGAGCATGGAATCAAAGTCTGGCAGCTCGTATTTAAATGACAAACAAATAATAAATATAGCCGCAAGAGTCGAGGAAGAAGTAGGCGAAATACCAGGCAAGGACTGGGAGTATAGTGAGCTGTTACATCTAATGACGAAGGAGATAGGGAAAGAGAAGAAAACTGTTTGCTGGAAAGGAAAAAGGAAGCCAAAAAGTTGGTGGAACAAGGAAATCTGGGAGGCGATCGAGAAGCGACGCGAAGCATCACGGGCGCATAGAAAGGCAAAAAAGGAGAAGCGGCCGCAGGACGAAGTCAAAAAAATATGGGAAATATATTTAGAGAAAAAATCCCTTGTACAGAAATTGGTAGAGGCAAAAATTAAAGGTGAAAGTGAACGCTGGATGACAGAGATACACGAAAAAAAGGAGGCCGCGCCTAGGATTTTTTGGAGCTACATAAAGGCGCTAGGTAGGAAGTCTGTCACAACGCAACAACATATTCTAGATGAAGGAGGAAATCAATTGGAAGGGTACGAAGCGCTAGGTTACATCCAAAAGGTAACAGCCGATTCGTTTCAAAAGAGCGTCCAAGGGATCTCCCCGGTGAGTAAAAGTGTGGCGGAGAAAGCAACAGAGGAAGAGCTAGTACTTGATAATTTCAACTGGAAAAAGGCCGAAGGAAAAATTCCAAAGCGCACTGCCGCGGGTTTAGATGGGATTCCCGTTAGCCTCATTAACGAACTAGGACATAACACTAAAGAAGCATTGTTAAAAGCAGTAGAAAAAAGCTTAAAGGACGGACAAATACCGGCCAGTTGGCGACAAAGTAGAATGAACTTAATCTATAAAGGCAAGAGAGAAAAGGACAAGATTCGCTCGTATAGACCACTAACCATTACATCGGTACTATACAGGTTGGCGATGCAAGCAGTAAAAATGAAAATAGAAACATGGGCCGAACATAACGATATTTTGGGAGAACTTCAGAACGGATTTCGAGTCGACAGGCGGTTAGACGATAACCTGTTTGTTCTCACTCAGTGTATAGAAATATCTAAAATAGAGAATAGGCCCTTGTACGTGGCTTTTCTAGACATAACTGGGGCATACGACAACGTTAATCAGGAAATTTTGTGGGATATATTGAAAGGAATGGGCATGGGCGACGACTGTATACAGCTTTTGAGGGAGATATACCGAGAAAATACAGTTTGCATAGAGTGGGAAGGAATGCGTAGCAAAGAGAACGTTGAGGTTAGCAGGGGTCTGAGACAGGGATGTCCTTTGTCCCCGCTGTTATTCATGCTGTACATGGTGAGTATGGAAAAAGCGCTAGAAGGTAGCAACATTGGTTTTAATCTGTCACACAAACAGGGCGGCATGATGATTGAGCAGAAGCTTCCAGGTTTATTTTATGCGGACGATATCGTCTTATTTGCGGACAGTCGAGATGATATACAGCAGCTGGCGAATATATGCGGAAGGGAAGGTGAAGCTCTTGGACTAGGATTCAGTGTAACGAAGTGTGGATTGATGGTATTCAATGATCCCTGTGATCAGACGGTGTCCATACAAGGCCAAGAAATACCGAGGGTAAGTGAATACAAGTACCTTGGAGTATGGGTAAATGAGAGTGATAGATACATGGAGGTACAGGAAAAAGCCTCGGCAGCAAAAGGAAAGAGGAATGCGGCAATAATGAAGCACAGAGCGTTGTGGGGATACAATAGGTATGAGGTGCTTCGAGGTCTGTGGAAGGGTGTAATGGTTCCAGGGCTTACTTTTGGGAACTCAGTGGTGTGCATGAGGGCAGAGGTGCAATCGGGAATGGATGTAAATCAAAGGACTGTGGGACGCCTCGCGTTGGGTGCTCACGGGAAGACGACAAACGAGGCTGAAAAGGGCGATATGGGGTGGGCAGGTTTTGAGGCGAGGGAAGCGCAGAGCAAAATAAGGTTCGAAGAAAGGCTAAGAAATATGAAGGAGAGTAGATGGGCAGAGAAGGTGTTCCGTTATTTGTATAGGAAGAGCGTGGACACACAGTGGAGAAAAAGAACTAGAAGACTCACTAGTAAATATACGGCTGGTATTGTAAGCCATAGGTCAACAAAGAGCGTTAAGGGAAAAGTCAGGGAGGCGGAGAGGATTTACTGGATGGCAGCTATGGAGAAAAAACCGGCTTTGAGTAACTACCGAAAGGGCAAAAATGAAATAAGGAGGGAGGCATTTTACGATAATTCAAGGGGAAGCGCTTTACTGTTTGAAGCGAGATCGGGTTGCCTTAGAACGCGTAGTTATAAAGCAAGATTCAGTAAAGAAGAAGAACAATGCACATGCTGCGGGAAAGATAAGGAAACGGCGGAGCATGTTCTGATTGAATGTGGAGATATCCACCCAGGTGTACGTTTGGGCACGAGCCTACAGGAAGCCTTGGGTTTTAGGGACAACAATGGAAAGCTGAACACACCCGCGATTGAAATAAGTAAGAGACGGTTAGAGTTTTGGTGGCAGAAAATTAGAGAGAAAGGACAAAAATAAATATTGGAAAAATAAAATATGGACAGTGTGCCGTAAATGGCAGAGAACTTAAGCTGAAAATTTACCTTTTTTTCCATTAAGATAGAATTTATCGAAGTAGAGGCATTAGGCCAACATAAAAAAAAGAAAAAAGGTTTTTTTTTTGTCGAGCCTGGTGGCATACTTGTCACCACCCCGTTATAAAGGGGACGCTCATAGCATCCATCCATCCATGTAGCCACATCTAGTTTAGTTCTTGCAGTGTTCACTAGATGGTGGTACCGTCTCCTGTATGTGTTCACTAGATGGCGGTACCGTCTCCTGTAGTACCTTGGAGTATGGGTAAATGAGAGTGATAGATACATGGAGGTACAGGAAAAAGCCTCGGCAGCAAAAGGAAAGAGGAATGCGGCAATAATGAAGCACAGAGCGTTGTGGGGATACAATAGGTATGAGGTGCTTCGAGGTCTGTGGAAGGGTGTAATGGTTCCAGGGCTTACTTTTGGGAACTCAGTGGTGTGCATGAGGGCAGAGGTGCAATCGGGAATGGATGTAAATCAAAGGACTCTGGGACGCCTCGCGTTGGGTGCTCACGGGAAGACGACAAACGAGGCTGTAAAGGGCGATATGGGGTGGGCAGGTTTTGAGGCGAGGGAAGCGCAGAGCAAAATAAAGTTCGAAGAAAGGCTAAGAAATATGAAGGAGAGTAGATGGGCAGAGAAGGTGTTCCGTTATTTGTATAGGAAGAGCGTGGACACACAGTGGAGAAAAAGAACTAGAAGACTCACTAGTAAATATACGGCTGGTATTGTGAGCCATATGTCAACAAAGAGCGTTAAGGGAAAAGTCAGGGAGGCGGAGAGGATTTACTGGATGGCAGCTATGGAGAAAAAACCGGCTCTGAGTAACTACCGAAAGGGCAAAAATGAAATAAGGAGGGAGGCATTTTACGATAATTCAAGGGGAAGCGCTTTACTGTTTGAAGCGAGATCGGGTTGCCTTAGAACGCGTAGTTATAAAGCAAGATTCAGTAAAGAAGAAGAACAATGCACATGCTGCGGGAAAGATAAGGAAACGGCGGAGCATGTTCTGATTGAATGTGGAGATATCCACCCAGGTGTACGTTTGGGCACGAGCCTACAGGAAGCCTTGGGTTTTAGGGACAACAATGGAAAGCTGAACACACCCGCGATTGAAATAAGTAAGAGACGGTTAGAGTATTGGTGGCAGAAAATTAGAGAGAAAGGACAAAAATAAATATTGGAAAAATAAAATATAGACAGTGTGCCGTAAATGGCAGAGAACTTAAGCTGAAAATTTACCTTTTTTCCATTAAGATAGAATTTATCGAAGTAGAGGCATTAGGCCAACATAAAAAAAAAAGGGGAAAAAAGTTTTTTTTTTGTCGAGCCTGGTGGCATACTTGTCACCACCCCGTTATAAAGGGGACGCTCATAGCATCCATCCATCCATCCATGTAGCCACCTCTCGTTTAGTTCTTGTAGTGTTTACTAGAAGGTGGTACTTGTAGCTGATGATGAAAAGATGCAAGATGTTATAAACTAGAAAGCGGTACTTGTAGTTGATGAAAGACGCGAGATCTTATAAAATAGGAATGATGTCACATATGGCGCGTGTCATTGGTTGAAGGCAATCGTTCGATTTAGTGCGGCGACGTACGCTAGGGGGAGCGGTGTAATAAAATCGAGTGGGCAAAATGTACAGAGGATTCATGGTTTACCAGGTTTACCTCCGGAGCTTCGCCCACTCATCATCATTCACTTCGTGGATATGGCAGAATTTTTTTTAGTGTTCTCTTGTTCTGGTGCACGAAATAGTTTTGGAAGAAGCACGCACCTTCCACTTCGTGTGCGATAATGAAAGGAGCTGTGAAACTGCTGTGCACTGCTTGTTTCATCACTTCAAATTCCCGGCGATCCTCCTCTTGGTGGCGTTGTTGCTCGAGCGTCTTATCGTAGGCAGCGGGACAAGATTGGTGCAATTCTCCGCCGAGAGGTTTCCCTGTAGTCGACCCGGTATGACATCGGCTCGTCAGCGCTTCCTCGAACGACCCCATCTTTTTGCAGGTCTATCCACACATACCTCTGTTCCTTGGAATAACTGTGGCAGATCGCGCATTTAATGGCATTGGTCGTAGTAGCTCTATTGGCGCTGACAATGCGACGTCTTGAAAGATGCCATTTTTGGAAGCCTGATGGTTGAGGCTGATGGCGTTTCATGGACGGGGGCAGTAGCATGCGCTGTGTTATCCCCGTGAGCAGCTTGGCGGGGTTGTATTCGTTGTTCAATAGACTTGCCCTGTAGGCGAGATTGGTTTGTAAGTATCAACAGTTCTTTAAAGGCCCTTCCGTAATTTTTATGACGAATTCTGCCATTCGGTTGCTGTGTTGATAGGGGGACTGAACAGCACGAGTTGAAAGTTGTACTCGGTTGCTAATTATGCAAATTCAGCAACCAGGGCTCTTGAGAATTGCGGCCCATCAACCTACACTGCTACTTTCTTGACATCATGTCTAGCGAAAATGTATTTGCAGTTGTTTATTACTACTGAGGAGGCCAGGTTATTCAGTGGTACCGGCCGCGCGCATCGTGTAAAATAATCCGTTACTACCAGCCACCGCATCCCCCCCCCTCCCGAAAAAAATTTTCTATTTCCCTTTCATGGCGAGGGCCGATCTGGAAGGTTCGTGTGTTGTAGAGGTAACTTTCGGTCGGTGCTCTGTTTAAACCAGCTGTGGGAGGTCTTAGGGATTCCTTAAATTTCTGCGTCAATACCTTGCCACCAGAATGAGCTCTTCGAATGTGCCCGGCACTTCTCAATTCCGCAGTGTCTCGTGAATAATTTTAAGGACGGGCGCCTAAGTGTTGATGGGACACTAACCCAGAGTCGCATAAGAGCACGTTTCCAACGAGGTCAATGCTTCGGCTTTCTTTTCAGTAAGGCTTCAAGCTGAACTCAACATCTCGGGGGCTTGGCCTCCTAAATGAAAGTCCTGGGTAGGTGGATGCTGGAATGGGTAGATATGGCGCAAAGAATAGTGAATGTGGTTGAAATAATAGTAAATATGCTGGAAGCTGTAGTGTTCATATCGACTGATGATGGCGAGAGTGGAAAAAAGGTAGCAGGGGTGGTGGCGGTGGCGAGTTTTTTGCGGCAGTGGTTGTGGTGGTTGGATAGCCAATGATGGTCACAGTGGAAAATGCTGGCTGACAGCGGCCATGCAGAACTTGTTTGGAAGATGACTTTATGAACAAGTTTTAATGACAGTCGCGCGATGGCGGCTTCAATGATGATGGCGGCATGATGGAGAACAACGTGGCAGTATGTGGAGTCACTTGTTATTTCCAGTGTTTCCTTCCGGAATATGCAGTAAAATATATTTACGGTCGAAAAAAAAAGACAAAGGTGACCATCATACTTTCTAGCACGTTTTATTTTTATCCTTGCAGCGTGGAGACCATCTGAATTTTCGTGGAGCGCAGAATTTGACCATGCATGTTTTCATTCCGTTCACGTACTTACGTAGTTTCACAAGCGCAATGTTCTTCTTTGTTGTGATTTTTATAAGACTGAATGTGCCGCTGTCCACAGTTACAGTAGACGTCCTATATCACCGCGCAGTTTACCAGAAAAGTGTGATATCTGGTTCACAATTGCTCCTTCCATTGGTAAACCAGAATACAGCCGCCACTTGTTGTCGCCATGCTAGAAACCCAACCTTGGCAATTCTTGCATACTAAATTACATGGGCCGTGCTTTATAGGTTAACCGTGAAATTGCGTGCGACGCTAAAATACACAAACATTTACCTTAGATATGAACGAGCCCCAGAAAGTCTGGCTTTCACGGTTCTATTGTGCCACCGTGGTTTGCAACAAAGGTGAATCCTACCGGCCGAGCCCGTCTAAGTGTCATCGGTGCTTCTGAGTTCCATGATAGACGATTCTGACGAGTACGAATCCCAACACAGCACGGTAGTGGCATAATTTACCATAAATAAAGCCTTTTTTTTCTTTTGTAATATTTGTGTCCTAGCGAAAAGTGACGAACATTGAGGCGACGTGCTTCCAGGAAATGTACAGCCACAGCCACGTCTGTGTAGAGCACGCAAGTAGCCAGTTTCAATTCTGTGGGGCGAAACCTTGAGGCAGTATCGGGGTCTGATGTGGACAGCCTCACAACTAGGACACGAATGCTCCTGATTCATCAATAAGAGCCCGATACTGTCTCAAGGTTTTGCGCCGCGGAGCAAGAACTAGCTGCTCGCACGCTGTACACGGGCGTGGCCACGGCTGCACGTCTGCAGTCACTTGACTTTTCCTTACCACGCCACTAGGCATTGTTCACCGGTGAACGATGATTTCGCGCCCCTATTTTTCAAAAAAACACCGTGGATGGATGGATGGATGGATATGGCTGTACCCTTTAGATTGGGCAGTGGCTAGCGCCACTAAGCCGTAATACCTAAGGAACCCAAAACTATATTTATTTTTTTTCCTTAAAAGGTGAGTTTGAGGATTTGTACCTTGCAGTGAAGAGTTTAATTTTCATTCGTGCCTTGACTTTAGCCACCAATCAGATAACCTCCTTCTAGTTAAGTCTACTTGCTTAAAATCTATTTTCGTGCCTATTTCGTGCCTTTGGACTTGTAGCGCTTTCTAGGCGATGGTACACGCACTAGAATTGCTTTTTCTGTACGGTTCGCATTTTTACCTCGTGGCGGTGATTTTTAAAGGTCACGCCCGTTCAGAGGTTGAAGCGCATGTGATTCACGCGATGGCGTCAACATCAGAAACCACGCGCGCTCGGAAAAAAAAAGCGATTTCGCTCGATGCCGACGCCTCGACGAGCGATATTTTGAATTCCTCGAGTAGTGAGGAATCAGACAACGATGTGGTGACATCGGATTTTAGCTTCGATGAAGAAATTTCATCAGATCAGCCGGGAACGTCAGCTGTTAGTCGCGGGTATGTTTGGTTTTCACCTTCTGTTTTGTTTGTCGTGTTCTGGAGCTGGCTGACTTGCTCTGTATGTGTCCCACATATTGTTATTATTATTTCTAGCGTGTCTACTTCATATGGGGGCGATATGCTGCCTCCAGCACAAAGACGCGTAGACTTCCGACCCCAGAGGGATCCGGGCATCGACCTCGGCATGACGCTCCGCAGTAGTGCACAATTTATGCTGATGCTGATGACCTCTGATGGATGACGCTTACCGACAAAGGGGGATGGGCCAAGAACCGGGTGGCAGGATACTTAAATGAAACTAAACTGAAAATGAAGCTAATCTGAAAAAGTAGCTTAAAATAATACTACCAAAAAACAAAAATGTTTGCTGAGCAAGCGGTCAAACCATCTTTTGTTTTTGAAAGACATAACTACGAATTATAAACTAAAGATCTGAAAAGGTAGTGGTTCACTGGCATGGTAATCTTTTAGTTGCGTTGATGTAATCAAACACAGCGGAGCATACATCCCTGTGGCAGTAACCAAATGAAGTTCCGCCAAGTGATAAAATTACTGGTAAATTTACTTGTATTCCTGGGGCTACTAAAAATCTTTTCTCTGATAAGAATAACGATGACAGAATAAAAGAAATGTTCAATTGTTTCAATTTCGTTGCACCAAATGCATAGCGGTGACGCCTTGAGCTGAGCTTTATTGAGGTAATAATTTAGTTGGGGAACTGCACAGCGCAATCTGGTATAAGTGAACACTAACTGGTGAGATACACACCACTGTTTATTCCAGCAATAGCTCAAATAGTCGAAATCTTTGAATTTATCCAAATTACCTTTTCTCCATTGCAGGCAAGCATTTCGGAACCTTAGCGCGGTTACGTAAGCCGTATCTGGCAAAACTGGGATAGTGGGCCCACCCAGGGATACTGCTGCTAAAGAGTCCGCCATTTCGTTCAAATATAATCCGCGGTGGCCTGGTACCCATAGCAAATGCAGTTTTTTTACGTTTTTCGGTATTAAATGCCGAAACGTATTCATCAGCTCTGAATTTACTGCCGCAGAAAGTGCATTACAAACTGATAACGAATCTGTAATGATAACTGCTAATGATTCGCTTGAGGGTAATTTGCATAGGGCAAGAACAATGGCCAATAATTCTGCCATGAATACCGGGGTGTAATCTGGGAGTCGAATCGAAAAGGACCAGTCCAAAGAAGGAGAGAAGATGCCAACCCCAGCCTTTTCTTTTGACACAGATGCATCAGTCGCTATGATATTGCTTATCTCTAGGTGGGCTAGATAATCTGCTAAATGGCCATTTAAATACCTATATGCCAATTGTTTCGCGTTATGAGGAAATATATCATCGAATTGTATGCTAAGCATTGACTTTAGGTTGTGTATTGGACCAATATGTCTAATTTTTACATTCAGTTGCTTTAGTAGCGCTTGTGCAAATACTATTTGCGGGGTGTGTAGTCGCGACCAATGGGTCTCGAAAAATAAAGTCGGTTCTTGAATGAAAGCGTAAAATGAGAGTCTTTGGTGTGAACTGTATATCTTTAAGAATGCTTGCACAGTAAGAATTTTAAACCTATTTAGCAGAGAAGGTAGGCGAGCTTCCATATACAACACGTTATTTGCAACAAACTTTGGTAGACCCAGACACAAACGCAACGCTTCTCTTTCCAGCAGTATTAGGGGTCTCATTTTATAGGCTGCGCTGCCAGAAAATAATACACATCCGAATTCCATGATAGGCCGCACATAAAGTTTACATATCATTATTAGCACATCTCTTCTTAAACCCGCTTTGCGGTTTGCAAGATTCCGTAGCCACCCCATGGCCCGTGTTGCCTTGGAGTACACATCATCAATGTGACTTCTTCAATTTAATGTGTCATTATATATGATGCCCAAATATTTAAGGGAATTCGCCTGCGGAATGAGCTCATTACTGTACATTAACGAGATGTTGATAGGCTGCAGAAAAGAGAATGCAAGGAGCACACTTTTCTTTACGTGCAGGGTCATATGAATATTTTTAAGCCATCTTTCTATCATAATGAGATAATTTTGTAGACTCTGGTATAATGATTGAAGGTCGGTATTACTTGCGAAGAAAGCAATATCGTCTGCGTACACATATAACTGAATATCCTTAGTTGATGGAATGGAGCTTAAAAAAATGTTAAATAAAACTGGCGACAGGACAGCCCCCTGTGGTACGCCACGTGTCTGCTTATATCTATTCGATGAGTACCCATCTTTAAAGCAGTAATATTCTCTCCCTCTTAAAAACTCCGACACCCACGCAGTGATGTAGTTGGTAAAGTGGTGATATTCCATCTGTTTTAATAAAATTGAATGCTCAACCCTATCGTACGCTTCAGCCAAATCTAAAGTAACTAAAGCACAGTATTGGCGCCGACGCCGAGCCAGTTGTATTCGGTTCTCTAAATCAACATGCGCACACCATATTGAGCAACCGGATCTAAAACCAATTTGACTGGGGTTTAATATTGCGTTATTATTAATATATTTCATTACCCGGGCATTCAAAACTCTTTCAATTAGCTTAACCAGATTTGACGTGATTGATATCGGCCTTACATTGTCCAAGGCGAATCCTTTTTCCTGCTTTTTAAGAAGTGGAATCACTTTAGACAGCTTCCATTCCGCAGGTATCCAAGCTTTTGTCAAAGAAAAATTCACCAGATTAAGTACTTCAGTTGGACCAATCTCGAATATTACTTTTATCATTGAATTTGTTACCCCGTCTGGTCCAGGCTCCGAAGGAGATAAGTGCCTTATTATCTCTGCCAGCTCATCTAAAGTAACCTCCTCGAAATCCTCGCCTGCCATTGGGTTCACAATGTGCAGTGGTAGGGTTGACATAAATCTATCTTGGAGCCCTTTCGCAATATTTTCTACTAAATCAGAGAGCTCACGGGGGGAAAGAACAGAAGAGTCAATATTTTCAGCGGGTGGTAACATCTTTTGAGATCTTAAAAATCTGAAGAGCGCTTTTTTGTTTTTAGCCCTAGAAAGATACTCATGTCGTTTCATATTGTAACCATCTTTTGCTGTACTTACTGTGCGTTTGAAGTCTGCTGCTGCGAATTTATAATCACACCAATTTTTTGGACATTGGTTGACCAGCAGTTGTTTCCATGCAGCTTTCCGTTTTCTATAGCTCCTCGTGCACTCTTCAGTCCACCATGGACTAAAAGAACCTCTTGTGGCCGAGTCTAATTTAAACGTTGCGTCTTTTACTGATCTTTTTAACACTGCACACAGACTCATAGCCCTAATGTCACCTTGTATGTCCTTGCGGTGATCAAAAGTAGCCCTCAAGTCTTTTTCTAATTTTCTATAGTTGAGGAATGAGCGGACCTTTTCGGCGACATGTATTCTTGGAAAGTTCAGTACAAAACTAATAGGCAAGTGGTCACTGTTAGTAGCACAGTCTAAAGTTTGCCACGAACATATATTTAGAGATGAGCTGGAAAATGTCAAGTCAATTACAGATTTAGAGAGACCTCGGACAAAAGTAGCAGATTGCGAATTCAAACAAGATAAATTCTTGTCAATAGCCCATTCCCACAATTGTTTTCCGCTTAAATCTGTTTTAAAACCCCAGGCCACATGATGTGAATTGAAGTCTCCAGTGATTAATATATCCTTTCTGCAGGCAGAGAACATATCGTCTAGACTTCGTGTGTCTTGCACCCCGGCTGGGAAATATGCATTTACAAACGACAAGGGAGAAGCGTCTGGTAATATTATGTCTACTATCAAAATTTCACAATCTGGAGTCACAAAACGATAAGAGATCGTAGCTTTGTGACTAAACTTAGTTGCTATCAAGACAGCAAGCCCACCACCTCTGCTAGGTCGGTCCAATCGAAATAGCCGATAGTTTTTTAGGTGAAACTTCTGGCTGGTTGAAAGCCAGGTTTCTTGCAGTGATATAATATCCGGGAAAGTTGTGAAGAAAGGTATGATAGGTCTGTGGCTGCGGAAAATATAGATCTGCAATTCCACTGTAATATGGTTAGTGAACCTATTTTGACGACAGAACCGTCGCAGAAACTGCTTGGTCCAAAATGTCCTTTCGCAAAAAGTATTTCTTGGACATGTTCTCAAAGAATTCTTTTTTGGATAGATACTTTTTAGATTTCGAATTATGCGAAAAGTTTTTTGATTGGGGAGATCGGGTTCGCTGCAGAGCCTTATGAGAGTCCATATCCATATCTGCACATGCTTCCGAATCATCCGTAAGATCACCGTCTTCCGTTGTTTTGGAAGTCCCTGCCTCAGTAGAAACCGCTTGCTGACGTGTTGTCGCACTTTCTATTTCCGTACGCTGCGATACCAATGATGTCTGAGGAGCCCAATCGCTCGTAGATGCCACACCTAGAATTTGAGATAGTTGATTGGAAACCAATTGTGCCAAGCTTTCAAAAAGGTTGTTTGCGAGGCGTTTTATTGCCTTTTCCATAGCATTCTCTACGGCCTCTGCGATAGATGTTGCAAGAGATGCATCCATATGGCGGTGGTATTACGTGCTGCAACACTGGCATATCCTTTGGATCTCTCCTGCATTTCTGCAACGGCTTCTCTCCGAGAGCACCTCTTGCGTTCTACAATATCCAATATGGCAAGCTCCCTTTCTTTTGTTGCACAGTCTGCGGAGTCTGCAGGGTGCGCCCCATTACATAAGCAGCACCTCTCTTTCTCAGAGCTGCACTCGCGGCTGTCATGATTTTCACCACACAGACGGCATCTAAGAACTGATCGGCACCCTCTGACGCTATGTCCATATCGCCAACATTTCAAACACTGCAGGGGTTTGGGGGAAAGTGGCTCTACCTTATAGATCAGTGGCCATGCCTTAATTTCGGAAGGTCGGACTGTTCCTAAAAAGGTGACTATCACCGATTCCGTTGGCGATTTTATGTTGTCAATTGTACGGGTGCACCTGTACACTGAAATTACACC